TTTCAAATTAGTTTGACAGCTACACTGACTAGACTAGTAGGTCGATAGTTACTAAATAGGTCTCCACCACCTAACATATGAACCGGACTGATATTAGCATCTTTTCAGCCTCATGACAGTTGAGACTAAATTAAAGAAATATCAAACAGTATTGCTAAGAGTTCATAAGTTGCGCCCGTCAGGATTTTCATGATCCTATGATGCATGTCGTCAGGACAATTCGGCTGTGTACATCTATCAATACAACCAACCGCAGTAAACTGATTTAGGGGGGAGGGTTGACAAAAATACATGTGATGATCATGAAGATTAAATAAAAGAATTTAAAGATAGCTCTGAAACGTAGCCAGGCAATTCAAGACAGAGTAGAGTGAGTACCTTTTTGACAGGGTAAATACACAAAAGCACAGTTAACTCACAATAAGTACAAAATCCCTATTTTAAAACGCGAGTTATAACATAACACACTATTTTCATAAGATGCGTTATCGGCAACAACACGGCGGCCATTATTATTGGTAGTTAAAGCCTCTCCTACTTTATGCTTCTGAGTTTCCCTAGCTCTTAATAATGCTAGGTTTTCAAAACAAGGTTCTAAATACTGGTCCAATCTCATTAGTGTCGCGGCGATTACCTCCTATCTGCTAACCTATCTGTACTCCTAGTTCTGCTCACTGGCTAAGGAAGTACATGCAATTTGAGCAGTTGATTTCACGATCACTTAAGTAGCTTCATATTAGACCCAAGAATGTCTTATATAGATATTTTTCCCTGCTCCCAACCACAAATAAAAATAGGTAAGGGCAGAAATTTATTCAGAAATAATAGAAATGAACCGCATATATGCTGTCATGTCAATTTTTTAGTCGTACTCTAGATTGGATATTTCTGTATAACTATGATTGAAGATTGAATGATGTTAAAATAGTTAAGCGGTAGTTTCTTAACTTATCGAACCACGCCACTAGATTGACATGGATAACAGCAAAGGGTTCGTTGTGTATTGCTTCATTATGTTTTTATTGTAGAAGTTCAGAGGAAGGTAAGTGTTAGACATAAAACCTGTGGGAGTTACATCAACCAGGTGGTGAATTTTCAGACTCCGGAGAACTTCACGATTCAAAGTGTGAAAATCCTAAATTAAGTGCCTTGCATGAATATCATCTGTGAGTTCAGTTCGTGTTTTATAATTATCAGTTTGCCTGGTCCAATTAAACGACGGGTTCGGGCTCTTAAAAAGTTGCAATATGAGACCCTGAAGATAGACTCCGAGTTTTACAAAGAGCTTTTTGCACTAGAAGTTAAGTATGATGTACAACACCAGCAAATATTCTCGAAAGTGCGTTGTTTTATTTTTTCACATACGTTGTAGAGGCGAGATATTGTATTGGGTGGTATAGAACCCACGGATGAAGACTGCGATTGGCCCACCGACGATGACGACATATCTCTAGACAATTTATCAGAAAGATTAAAGAGCACAGCCAATGTCACTAAAGACACCAGTAATAAAGGTAATTATGGTTGTTTTGGTGAATGTCTGCAGATTGTCAAATTGACGTTAAAGGTGTCCCAGACTTCTGGCTCAAAACTCTAGAGAACATTTCACTATTTGATGAGATGGTGCAAGATCATGATCGTGATATTTTAAAACATCTAATAGATATTAAATGTGTTCTCAATACAGGGGAGGAAGCAGTATGTTGACTACAATTTTTTAATGCTTCAGGGCTTTACACTGGAATTTTACTTTTCATCAAATAAATACTTCACTAACAGTGTATTAACTAAAAGGTATTATTTCAACTACGACATACCTAGTGAGGATCCTTTTGGGTATGAAGGACCTGAAATTGTCCGCACCAAAGGGTAATTATCATGAAATTTTACTGTATGTAATAGTTGTGTTATCAATTGGCATCCGGGTAAAAATGTTACTGTGAAACTAGTCAAAAAGGTTCAGAAACGAAAAAACGGAGGTGCTAAACGGACTGTGACAAAAAGTGTTCGAGAAGATTCCTTCTTCAATTTTTTCGAGCCTCCTGCAGAAAGTACGTCAATTTTCGCTTCTAACATGTATTTTAGCTCTCTCCGATGATCTGGTGAGTTCATTATGGTTTGTGGTAATTTTTCCAGGATGAGGATACTGAAATGCTTTTGGAGTCCGACTTCAAGCTTGGTCAGTTTTTGAGGGAAAGCGTTATCCCGAGAGCTGTACTTTACTTCACTGGTGAGGCAGTAGATTCCGAAGTAACTCACTATAAAATAAAATATTTTTTTAGTTTGATGATGACGATGAAGATCTAGATGATGAAGATTTAAGTGAAGATGATGACGACGAAAAGGAGGAAGAAGTAAGTTCCTTCATTACTTTTTACGAAATAACAAAACGTCAATCTCTGTCGGCTTATTTACTTTTACTGTAAGCAATTAACACTATATATCGACGCCAGTCATAAATTCGTCAAATGAAGTTACAGTAAGATATGAATCAGTGCAGGCACGGGTGTCAATTCCCATGTATATATATACTTCATCGTTACCTTAATCAAATATGTATTATTAAGCTTGTTTCTCTTATTGTTTTTTAGAATGAAAAGGAGAATTCTCACGTAAGCCTTTAATTTTATTTTATGTTGTTATTATGATATTCAGCCAAAGTTTTCCACATACTGTTTGTTAATTACTTTCCAACTGCGAAGTTTTTAAACCGTAACAAATGAATTTCGATTGCTAACAAATGCCATTTAATTTACGATTAATCATCGTAATTTCTCTTAAACAGTTAGTATTTCAAGTTGCCGGGATTCGCCTCTCCACGGCATCATCAAATTAAGGAGATCTTAGTAAGAAAGGTAATGTGTTGGTGAATTACCGAGTATTCATACAATGGGTTACGTATTGATACTGTCCTATTGCCCAGAAATTCTATCCTCCCAATTTACTAATACTCTTGCTAAATTATTTTATTCATCACATGATTTCATGTCCATACACAGTTGTTTCGGCTATTAACTCAACACTCTACTAAACGAAATCAAGCTACCGTTCTCGGTAAAATGCACAACACCTAATGATGTTTGGTTGGGATCAGGCTTTTTTGCTTAAAGTGATCGGCGACCTAATGTCACCAAAGTCATTATCCATCTTTGGCTACTCTTGTTAATTTATTCCCTTAAGACAGTGACGCGATCGACTTGATTAGACGGGTTACGTTTACCCGTAGCTTATTAAATGCCATCTTATAAGCTACACTTAATTGAAACTGCTATCACTGAGTATTTAAAGTGAAGAAGTGACTATTCATATTAACTGAGTGTTACTAATGGTTTTTAAATTACCACTGGTACCACATTAGCTTTATTAAATTCATGACCATTTATGACTAAAAAACTAACTAATCCGAACTTTAAGGTATTTTAATTGCTAACATTCACAACTAAATAATATTTATAGCAATCAAAGCAAATTCATAGCCTTATTTTAACTTTGATTGTATCTTCTCAATATTAATCAAGAGATAGGTTTTTTATATTCTTGCCTATCATTTCTTATCTTAAAAACCGACTGCTCTGTACCACGTTTTATTACAACTTCATTTTTCAACTACAGTCATGTCGTGGACGGCATCAACGTGCCCCCAACCGACCAAAACCCAATCAGAAAACCGGAGAAAATCAAGAATGCCCACAACAATAAAGCTATTGCCAAGCTTGTCAATATAATCTGATGTATCCTTGTTTTAAGAGATCTATTGAACGTTCATGTTCTTCAATGAACAACCTCTATTGCAAAATTACAGAATTAACTATGAAAAAGTAAAAGTTGTCATTGAAAAGTTTATTTTTTTTTAGTACTTTATGTCCAAGATTAGTTGTTCGCTGATTTCGAATTTAAAGTAATCATTAGTCCGCACTGCCAGCGAGGTCCTACTTACTGCTCTTTTGCGGCGGGGATGTTTACGAAATTGAGAGGACAAAAATAGAATAATCCGGCGCTTTAACCGGGCTGGTTGATATAGAGGAGCCACTTACAGAAGTTGGAAAGACCTGATTCCAAAACATTAGTGCACATGAGCTCCTAAGAGAATTAATAGCGTCTGAACCTATCGAGACTGCATCTCTCAATTTTGCTACACTGACTTATGGATTAGGCATTTAGGTCAAAGGTTCTTAAGAAAGCTCCCTGCTTTGGGCACCTAAGGGGTATCCTAGTCCTCACACATGGAGTGGTTTATGTGGCGCCTCCTTGCACCAATGTTTATGCGTTTAAATAATAACAAAAGGTCACGTGTAACGACCTAAATTCTCGAGTGACAGAAGTAATATCACTTTCTTAGGATTAAAGATCCCGATAAGAAGTTATGCGTTAGTTCTCAGTTTCAAGTTAGACATATAAGTCACCAACGTGTCGGTCTTTCCCCAGTATATCTATTAGTGGAAAAGTCCAATAGATGCATCGTACCTTAGGTTCAAAAAAGATGGTTTTGGGGATCCAATAGTGACTAGATGGATTTCTGCAACCGCGTTTGGTCGAATCAGAATTCTTGAATCACACAATAGCTGTACCTTATCCACTAACGTTAAGTGCACAGTCTTCATGGAGCGTATTTATTTGTGTATTACGTAATCAATAAATGAATGGCCTTGCGGTGCTATATACCCAAATTTAAAATGGTCAGTAGTTGCATTTAAATGTCCCTAAGCAAAATATTTCGACACAGTTGAGCGTACGGTTTAAGGTCCTACAAAAGCGGGACGATAGCACTTAGTGACCTGACGTCTAATATTGTTAGTCGCGGTTTATGCTATGTTCGTATTTGGTTACTTGATATCCAACGTTACGGGTTGAAAGAATAATCCGCTATTAAGGGATGTACGTTGATGCTTTGAAAGAAAACTGTTATTCGTTCTAATTCAACATCATAGTTCAAGTATTTGCCACAGAATAATATAAGACTGAACACATACCGAGTATGTTTCACGAACGTGACAATCTGAGATAATAAGTAGTGAGTATTGAGTCATCCGAGCATGACCACGATACACTGAAATCTTAGTGATATCGACAGTTTTCTTGACGCAGTTGACTTCGTTAAAAGTCAGGAAAAAGGCTGCGAACAAGGGTACACTGATCGCCAGAATTACATGTGTGATTAGAGTTATGTCCCATTCCTATTGTTAAACAAACCATAATTTGCTCAATGAATAGAACTAGATTTTGCGGCATTTTGATACAACGTCCTTGGTACGTGCACAAGCTGATGTTACGCTTGAAAAAAGGTGATCGTTGGCACTAAATCTATCGAAATAAGATATCTGAGACAAGGTAACAGATGAAGCTTGTGTATTTATAAATCCACTTACATTTGAGTTTTTTTATACAATTATGTGCAACTATGCGTGCATTACAAAAACTTATTAACGGTTGGCCTTGCTCAACAAACCCAGGGTATTTGTTAATTCACACTATCTGATTAGTGAAGAAGGGAAATTATTGTACGGATAATCTAGAGAAAAAGTACACTTGGATATGTGAGTATGGAAGGCTTCAACATGTAATAGTTGTTTTCATGTAAGTAAAGAAAACCACGAACCAACAAGGTACTACAATGATCTTTATGCAAAAAAGCTAATCAGTGGAATTTCCCTCTTAAGAGTGATGGCAAATTACTACGTGGATCTATTCAGGAATTGTTGGCTGGATGACGGAATGTAATTATTTTGAAGACATTTTAGCTTCATATTGTTGTATTCCATTAATATAGTCAGTATAATCGTCAGGAATATCTTTCATGAAATCTGAATGATAATTGATATCGGGAAACCATTCCGGTAACATATATGGTTTCAACCAGCTAACAAGAGGAGTTACTCCAGGTTCGTAATTAACATCTTTGTGGTAAAATAGAACACCATCAATCTGTGAACAAACAATAGGGGAACATTAAATGCAAAAATATAGAAGACATTACATTATATTCGATTCTCAGTCCGAATAAAATTATGGTTGGAAGTTAAAAATCGATTTATTTATACTTATTGCAATGTTAATTTACACCTTATCACTGTATCATTTGCAATGACGAATACTTTCATTTAAACTTCTACGATAATCGCATATTCATGAACAGAATGAGAACATGAAGTGTAAGCGAATACATAAACAAAAAGGTTAAATGTACACAAAAATGGATTTAGTAACAGATAACCAATCAAATCAGGATGACTGATTTAGCCGTCAAATATATAACTGATACTTTAAGAGCTCCAAAGCTGTACAAGTTTGTCGCATTGAGTGTTAGTAATATTATCCGATTTAATAGACTGAATTAGATGAAGTCTGAACATGTGATCCAATAACCAAAAGTCAAGTCCTCTGACCATTAATTTATCACTCCATTTTCATGTCATTCAAGATTTTAGGTATTAACAAAGATTTGTAAATGTGAGAAATAACTAAGTGCATATTCAATTCTAGTTACTGACATTGAGCTTAGAAGAATGGACAAAGTACAACTTAATGAAACCAACCCGCGTGTTTTAAATCCAATAGTTATTGTAATTTGAAAATGGGTCTATTAGTGGGACATACTCCTGATATTGAATATATACTTAACTGAACGGAAAGGGACGAAGTCTGTAGCTTTATTCAACACAATGAGTGTTTAATTACCAGTAGAGTATGCTTTACGCTTAAACTTAAGTGTAATACACGAGATGTTGTAAAAAGTGTAGAACCTACGATTAAGAGGCTGACATCTTTAGTAGACTAATGGAAAATGGAAGTCATTTGAGCGAAATAAACACACGTATCGAAACAAATGTAAGACAGAAGCCGTAGACTGTTACGAAGGGAAAGTAGGAAACTTGTGGTGTGTTCTTTTGTTATTCAACTTGAAGAGTATTTATCTCACACGTTGGCTCACTGAATTTTCGTTTGGTACATATTATACGCCTTTTGAAAGATCGCCAAAAAACGAAATTTTTGTCTTGATTGTCGTTCCCGTCTGACTGGTTACCGTGTTTACTTTTTCATAGGACCGATGACCTTCATCTGACTAATCACTCAATGATTGTGAGATAATGATTGATATCGGTAACTAACGCCCATTAGTGCAGCCTCTATTTATCCTACCAGCTAACCAGAAGACGGGAGTAACACGGAGATAAGACTTCTGATGCAGAGTTTTTGCTCTATCCAACATGATTTAGAAACTCATATAATAATATATATTGAATACCGGGTCACACAGCAACATAGATAGGAAATTATAATGTGTACAATACTACGTTATGAGTAAAGTAAAAGTGAGCAATAAGTTCGTATTAAATTAACAATAACTTGGAGGAGGTGGAACATTTCAATCAGCTACAACATAAGACCAGGTATATATATGCATCGGTCCAAGTTGCCACACTTCATTAGCACAAGATGAACACCAAATTCATATAAGTAGTTACTTCAATGATGGTAATATATAAAAGAAAGATTGCATACAAGGATATAATACAGGAAGGACAAATCCGTTCGTAGAAAGATATGAAGCGACTTTAATCTCATAGTTTAAGGGGAGACAGGGAGTGTATACACCTACGCCACCTTGATCGATTCTGAGCAATGTCACCCAGTCTCCAACCATTGGTCTTGATAGTCACGCGGACCCCAACCAAGTAGTCTGCATTTACCAACATGGCTCAGACCAGAAGTTAGTGACTTCAGGCACTAATGCCACGTTTTTTTTGGTCGCCCATAACGGGTAAAGGTAAAACATCTAGCAAGTTTGTGTGTCCTTTGGAAAAGTACATAACAGGGAATATAAAATACAATAAGCTAAGTATTTTTCTAATTACAAAATAAAAATATGGACACTGATTTCCCATATGATAGTTCTGAATGTTTAGCTCTCCAAACACGATACGACATAACATTTTCCAATGCATCAATTAATTACTCGGCGACATAAAACTAAAACCTGGTTAACGATAAATAGGATTTTGCAAGTTTAATATTTATAAACTGCCGTACGTGTTGTGGCATTTCCTATTTTACTTTAAAAATAATCATAAAATTTTTATGATGCTCGACTGCTGCTATACTCTTTTAATTGGAGGTATAGTGAAGTGAGACAATTCATGCAGCTAACTAATAGTGCATAAATGACTGTTTACTGTTAGTACTATGGAAGAAAATATTATAATATCGACCCACGTCTAGTTACTTAACGATCGTGAAACACAATATGTCACTTATATCTTATTTGCATAGTAGGTTTTGTATACCACAGGAAGTGTATATCACAACTGAATCCCAGTGCAGAACACAAGTTTTCTAAGGCTACTGCATAATGGTTGACTAAAATAGAAGTAACTGCACTGAAGTGAATTGGTTTATTGAATTGAATCGAATCCTACTAATCACTGAGTTTTCATCCTAGGAGTTATATATTATATTCATGTGGACCAGCACTTAAAATGAGCCGCGTGTATATATTAATGAAAATGTTTGTTTATAAATTGAATGCCTTTGTCGGTAAGAAAAGTAACCACCTCAGAACTGCCAGCGAAAATCAACATCACTTTATCATCATTACAGTTTTACTACAAAACGTACAATATATGAGAAGAGACTATTTTATCGTCCCCAAGCCTTTGACATTTGTTTGTTTCTATTAGAATTATTAATTTTTCTTTTGTAAGAACTACAAATGACAAGAATCCCAATGCAAATGTACTATTTTTGTAAACTTTATTTGTATTGGTTGTTTGGATCTTTCCATTAGTGTTTGGGACTGTAACTGACTATTCAGTACTGAGTTCGAGTCTCTGGATAGACATCAACTTTGGAATCCAGGTAGACCCGGTTGAAAAGTCCAAAATAAGGTGAAATATGCGTTCTGGATTTTACTGCTAGCCACTATTCATCTCTGCTTATTCTTATAAGTCATAAACATTACATTACACTGTTTACCTTGTGTGATTTTATCGATAAATAGTTCCATGCTTTGCAAGTACATCACATACAGACATACATCTTGTGTTATACATCATATATATATGCTAAGGTACTTAGAAATTTATAGCTGTACACTATTACAACTGAGTGACAAATGATTGAATGTTTGAGCTACCTCGTATGACGGGATTGACGAGAATGCGTCTTGCATTGATCCTACATCACATTCATATGACGGCAGAATGTGAAAAGCAACCTGTTTTTAAAGAAAGGAAAAACATTATATATTTTTGATAATGACATGAATATATTTTACTTAATGAACGTCTTCATAGTATGTTCAAGATTCTCAAATTTTAATCTTAAACGATATTTTCCACTCTTGTATATACATTAATTATTTAGGCAATTTTTAAAATGAAACACGAGGAAAAAGACACTTTCAGAGTTGAAGAAGGTTTCGTGTTCATTTGGAGGCGAACCATATATGAAACTGCTTTTTGTTTTTTAATCAAATTAATATCCGTAATTTTTAGTTGTCCATTAAAAATTCATATTCAGACATTAGGTAGGATACTTCATTCAAACGTTTTATCAGGAAAATTAAACTCAAATGTTTTGGATTGAAATGATCTGAATGGATACATGTTATCGAACTTTACTTAAAATAGCTTTTCCATGGTTGGAGGGATGTTATTGCAAGCTAAACAGTATGCTACATGGCACGTTCATCCAACACAACATTGTCAGATAATTAATATTAAACAATGAAATACATCTTGGATTCGAATACTAATTGGCATCAAGAGTTATTATTAATCATGCAAATAATTTTCTTATAAATATTCTTAGTTAAAGATGATATTAATTCAATGACTTCACAATAATCACCATAGAAAATGTAACCGGTTGTTGTAGTAAGAAAAATAAAAAAATATTATTACTTATGACAAAATGATATTCATATGTGTCATCATTATTAAAAATTTAGTTCGATATATTGCACACGAAGTATGACCATAATTTATAAATCCACTTACGGGATCACTTTCATTATACTCCTCTATTTGTTGCTTGAGATAACTCTCTAACCATTGGGATCGTTCATAAAACTTGAAGAGTAAAAATAGAGTATTAGTTAGTACATATACAATGTAGTAAATAAATACTAAATACTTAATCTAGGAATTTAGCTCGAACATATCAGTTTAATTACAAAGACACATGCTACGTAGATATGATAAGACTATCTATTCACTCTATAAGCTGATAAAGTACGCCAAAATATGCTTAAAGAGAGCTCTCTTTGTGTATGAAATAACAAGTTTAATTTAAGTGTTTTATAAATTATGACTGATCAATAAGACTGCTAAGCTCGAATTTTTAATAAGACAAAAGTTTTATGGATATTTTTTTAACGCGTAGTTTAATTACAGAGTGATTTAAGCTAGACAACTATTGGAAACCAAACACTGTATGTTTATTATTCGTACAAAATAAGTCATTTATTACTGAGATTATGTATACAAAGACTTCATTTAAGAAACAAATGCATACTTGTTATTCGCAGATCAAATAATGTAGACAGCTCAGTGCAATTCATAACCCATATTTGATTATTACTACGTTTAATCAGTCGAAATCAACGTAATGCCTGGAACAAATACACGCTGAGATGAATTTCCATACAATATTCTAGAATGTGCATATCACCAGATGGAAAACCTTCTGTACACTACCGGATTTCTTGGGGTTTAAAATGAAGTAATGAGTATTGGGATAAATTATGAAAACAAGAATATTAACAAATCTAGAAACGACTAAAAACATTTAATTAGAAAGCTTTAGCTTAAGTATGTTATTTTTCTTTGAGTTAAAAAAGGATAAAAAACAAACATAATGTAAAGTATACTGTTGTATCATTTTAATGAAATTCGTCAACAGACTTACAGGTAGATTGACATAGCCTGTCGATCTCATAAAAATGATGTCAACTACGTAGAAGACAAAAGTCACTTGCTTTGTTTCATTTGCCATTTGGAAATTACTGAAATCCATATTCTTTTCCGGACAGTATAATATGCAATCTAATAAAGTTGTATATGAACTGTTCTGATTATCACTTTGGCCTAAACCACCTCCTGGAAGTCGTGAAACAGAGGATATCAGTTGACGTCCATTTCTAGTATATACTGTAGTCTTTCCCTTTAAGAGAATTTAAAATTCTGCTCTATTAATTAATGTAAAAATTATATATATATATATATATATATATATATATATATATATATATATATATATATATATATATATATATATATATATATATATATAACTCGTGGAAGACTTGACTGTTAGTGCGTAAGTTGGGAAGCAATGAATATGCACGTTATGCTGACCATATACTGCCAAAGTTATCTCAAGAGCTCAGTTTCGAGGAGACGGTAACTCAATTGTCAGAGATATTCGATGAATCGTCCTCATTGTTTAGTATTCGATATCAGCGTCTAAATTTGGTGAAACGCGAAGCCGATGAATATGGTGCTCTAGCAGACGTCCTCAACAGAGTGTAAACGGTTCAAGTTACGCTCACTGACGGAAGACTAATTTAAATGCTTAATATTAATCAAAGCTCTTCAGTCACCACAAGATATTGAGATCAGGACTAGACTTTTGACTCGACTGGATCAAGATCCAAATGTTACACTCAGGACATTGACAGATGAGTTTACGAGACTACAAAGCATTAGACACGACAATGAGTTAATTGAAGAGGTAAATCCTAATTTAACTTGCAGTAGTATCAATGCTATTACTAGGTTAAAAGTTCAGAAGCCGATAACAACTCGTAAGAAACCAACGACTGCTTGTTGTTTATGTGGTGATTGGCATTATGTACAAATCTGTCCATCTAAGAAGCATAAATGTCAGGTGTGCAATAGACGTGGACATAAAGGTCATTGTCCGCCAAATTGTACGACGCAGCCCAAGGAGAAACATAAACGTCCTCGCTATGTGGTGAAATCAGCCGAGTCGAAATCTCTTTCTCTGATAGCAACCATTCAAACAGACTATGACTGTCTAGAGAAACGTATAACCTGTTTGGGAAATCGCTAATGAAGCCATCTAAGAAACTGCTAAAAACGCATCATGAGATGCTCTAAAACTGGTTTGTGAAGTAGAATGTGAGTTTTCCTTCAATTAAACTAACTGTATAGAGATATATTACTTAACAGAACGGTCAAACCTTGTTATTTTTGGTGCAGATATGCTATAACATCAAGAAAAAACGACCCCAAAAAATACAAAATATGTCGATCGTATTCAGTGAGTCTGCTTTTAACTAAATCGTAGTTAGTACCACAAGTAAATGAAATACAGTTTTATATGTTTAATCTAAGACAACAAACTATGCAATCTAAATTAGTCGTGAATTGGAACTAAATAATCATTAACACCGAAAGAAAAAGCCAGCAGTGTTCAGCCTTGGTATGATTTTAAGAAACTATTATCTAACCAAATGCAGACCAATCCATGCTGATTTCACATATTAACTACCTGGAGAATATGACTTTCGGGAAAAGCCATACTTTATCGTGTGACCAACTGACTTTCAAACAGTTGAGTTAATTAATTCATTTGATATTGTTTTACTTGGATCTTCCCATTGATGTTTTAGGACTGAAATTGATCAGTCTCTTATTGACATATGTGCAATACTGTGCGTATGCCACGATATTGCCTTAATTTACAAGCATTATAAGCAAAGATGGATAGTGGCTAGCAGTGGGATCCAGGACGCGCGTTTCGTCCTGTTTGGGACTCGTCAGCTGGATGTACCTGCATCTCAGAGTTGATGTTCGCTCTGCGACTCGAACCCAGTACCATCCACTTCAAACGCCATCGCGTTATCCACTTGCTTGTGCAATGGGGTGAAGTTTAATTCATTTGATATTGTTTTACTTGAATCTTCCCTTTGATGTTTTAGGACTGAAATTGATCAGTCTCTAGTTAGCATATGTGCAACCTGTGTGGATTGCCTTAATATTTCCACTACTAGCTACCATCTATCTTTGCTTATAAAGCTTGTGATTTAAGGCAATCCACACATGATGCATATATACCAACAAGAGGCTGATCGATTGCAGTCCTAAATACTAATGGGAAGATACAATCAAACAACACTAAGTGACATTAAAAGTATTCCTTATAATACTCTGAAAGTGGTAATTCAGACAATAACTAGTTGTATTATATTCAGTTTCAAGTTGTTTTTATTTTACTCATAAGTATTATAAGTAACTCATTGTATTCATACCTTACGAATTTCACTAGGTCATTTTAAATTGTTTATAGTATTTAAGGTTGTCATATATAAACACTTAATTAGAACGTATAGTTTATTTGTATTAGTCTTACTTGACAGTTTATTTGTAAGCAGTATCAAACTAAAACAAGCCACTAAGAAAATAACCATTGAAATACTAATTACGTAATTAATCATTTTCATAATTTAAAAGTAATTGTGAGACTACGAAACCGATATTGGTTCGATTCAACTTTTATAAATAATATTAAGGTAGATTTCTACGGATCATTTAAAAAGAAGTTAGTTTATACCAACTAGAGAACTACTAAGAACCAACTCTCTCCGGTCAGCTACTTCAAGCTGATTTGTAACATCTGATCGTCGCGTAACCAAGATCTATATCCCGCACAGTGAACACAGTACATATAGACCAATAAGTTGATTGATTAATATCCTGAAACATTTTTGTATTATTTCAACTGTCTAACATTGAGAAAGAAATATTATATTAATAAACCTCTAATACCGTAATCGAGTAAATCAGTGGAAATTTCAACCACAGAGTTATTTTACTATTTTAAATCATACAATTAAATTCATTTACATTATTTATTTGATTTCTTTCGTGAGCCTAATGCGGTGAATTTAATAAGATAAAACTCATAAACCAAGTACATGTTCGCTTGACCAACATTTAAGCCATTACTTTCTACCATGTTTGAAGATGAACGCTGAACTAATAACCAACTGAAGTCACAAGCAGCAAAGTCCGAACCTTTATTCTAGTGACTAACAGATCAATACTTTTATCAGTAATCCAATAGTGCAGACAGAACAATAATCATTATATATATATATATAGAGAGAGAGAGAGAGATTAAAGGGTAATTTTATCGACTGAAAAATTATAACATGTGGCTATCTGTGAACTGCTAAGGCAAGATGATTGACGAGACAAATTTAAGCGTATATTGAGATTGGAAACGTTATCTGGTTTACCAAGTAGAAATTTATGTACTCAGATATAAGCCATACTTTGTGTGAGGGTAGTGAAACTATTTAGCTTTCCAAACCACAGTAGATGGGGGATTCGAACCCTTAACTTATTGATTGAGGACCAAGTGCTTTAACCACTAAGACACAGCTCCATGAGTTAAAACCTAACTTTTTACATCCAGATAGATGAGGAATATCTATCACCAATGTAAAATCAATTTCAACAAGCTTTGGTTTATCAAGTATTCGTGAAAACCGTTTGCATAGAAAAGTGCATACCAAAATATCTCTTAATAAGAGGATTCTCTCTTTATGATTCAGCAGTATTTCAAGCAAACGTAGCCAAAAATCAGTGATTTAAATCATGTTCACCAACGTTAATTTCTTACTTTTGAAGCCTTGATAAATACATGGCGCCCTTTAGGACAAATTTTCATCCGATATTCCTCTCCAAAATTTGGAGGCATAAATAGAAACCACTCTGCTAGCATTAAAAGTTTCGAGTGACGACGCCAACTTCTTATTTCTGACTTTGTTTCAGTTGATGCCCAAGGGTGTTTTGAGGGCTCTTCTTTATTCACAGAAAAGCGATTATGATCGAAATGATCTAATCGTTCTTTTTTAGATTTAAGTATGCTGAGTTTTTGACGCCAACGTTTTTCCTGATCGATAGCTCGACCTTTGTTTTTATATAATGAAAGGCGTGGGTGCTGTTCTGATTCAGCGACAGTTTCAGAATTTTCTTCGTCAATATCCAAAGTCGAATCCCAATGTTCGCACAAGGAATCAAGTTCCATTTCTCTAGTATTTAACTTAGATTATTGAGATAATTCAAAGCACTGAAATAAAAATTTTTACTAGATTACTATATAGTATGCACTTAGTAATTGCAATAACTACATTGGCTTCCAACCTGAAACATATAATAAAGAGAATTGAAATAATTATGTGCCGATTCAAGTTGTCTTGATTTGTATCGGCACAGTCAGTGCTGATCCATACGCCCAACTCTTAAGTACTGGAGTATCCCCTCTACTTTATAGATAGGGAACTTTAACATGAGCTTCTTATACCCCTTATTGGGGTGACATAATCCATTAAATTAGTGCTAGTGACTCATCCCTAAGAGAAACTGTTAAGGCAGTTATAGAGCTCACCCCCCTTACTCTTGAACTAAGTATAAAAAAGTCTTGAATCGCAGTTGCAGTTAATGATTAGAACTATTGGCTTTTGACTATAGAGCTGTACGTTTAAGGCTCGTCCCACCTACTCTGGTTTGGCCATACAGATAACATATCTTTAGATCATAATTGTGGTGAGAACTTGAGTACCTGAAACAGCACTCGGCAAACTAGTTGTACCAACTATCATGAACGTAAAATTCTTGAAATAAAGGGATTTAAGAAGCAAGAAAATCATTTAGATTACATTCAAGGAAAGAGGATTCTGTATTATTCTACATTTAACAGGACTATTTCGCACACAAGGAAATGACTATATGGACGTCAAAGCTCATCCCGATGCACTAGTTCCCAACATTTATATCAGTAGGGATTCGTCTCATATCTTTTTATTCAAAGTGTGTCGTGAAAACAAATCATTTTATTGATGGTCCAATTGGCAGTATGTTGTGATACAGCGTAAAAATGTTTGGAAAGACAAGAACCTATAGGCATATATTCTCTAGATTACTGTCATGAGGAATTAATTTTCCGATATTTCTGTCAGTTTGAATACGAATATGGTGGATAGACCTCAACTTTTGTTTGACAGTAAAATTTGCCCAGTTATCAAATACTGGGCCGGAGACCATGCTTATAACACTGGGAGCATTCACCGAAGCCGAACATTTGATAATATTCAATGTGTCGCATACTACCTTGAATAACTATGTATGTACAAAATAGAATCTTAAGATCGAGAACTCACCATTGCATAGTCTGACGGTATATACTACTAATTGTTTTTTTATAAATATAAAGTCCGGTCTTTAACAGGTTTGGATCTAGCATGAAAGTATGCTGTATCTTGGTGAAGTATGAATGGCAGTGTGTGGGACAATCTGAAAGACAACAGGTGAAAGTGGCCGACTGTATAGTAAGCATATGTAATCTTACATTTGATAAGACAACCTATAACAACCGGAGGTAATACAAGGACAAGATTAAAGTTATTCGGCAGACGAAAATAAGAGTTGATATTACAAGCAAGGATTAATATAGGTCGACAGACCTCCTATCCTTATTACTGAAGACTGAAGCCACCAAATGTGACACACCGCCTGTTAGTCAATGGAGCGACCATTTTCCTGACGGCCGCCTTCAAAACTCAATAAACAAGATATTTATGACGAGTTTGTGTAACCAACTAATTTCTATTCGCTCGGTTCTTGATGCCACAACAAACACTATATATTCGTTATCGCTAGACAACGGAAACTCGGTGGATATTGTTTACATAGATTTCAGTAAGGCTTTTGACATGGTGCCAACTAATAGACTGCCATTGAGGTTGGAAAACCTTGGTATTGCTGGAACTCCTTTAAAATGGATTAAGGGTTTCCTAGTAGTTCGTAGACAAAAAGTAAGAATAAATTCCAAGTGCTCTATCTGGAGACCAGTACTTAGTGGAGTACCCCAAGGTTCCGTCTTAGGTCCTTTACTTTTTATAATGTACGTTAATGATCTTACAAGTATAGTACAATCTCCAATGTTATTATACGCTGACGATGTAAAAATTTGTCGAGTAATAACTGCAGACAAAGACGCATTTACTCTTCAGACAGACTTAAATAATATGATAAACTGGTCTAAAGAGTGGCTGATGCTTATCAACTCGGAAAAGTGTGTCTACATGCACTTGGGGGATTCAAAGGTTAATAAGTACAACATAGGAGATGTGTCATCACCCGTAGTCCGGTCTCATAAGGATCTAGGGGTGGCAGTGAGTAATGATCTTAAGACGACGGCCCATTGCCGGGAGAACGCAACCAAAAGGTTTCGAACCCTCTGGGCTTTAAAAAGGACATTCACTAAGTTAGATACTACCATGTTCACCACAGTATACACATCCTTAGTGAAAACTAAGCTAGAGAACTGCGCTCGAGCTGCAAGCCCCTGTTTAAAAGGTGACTCGGACATACCAGAAAAAGTACAGAGGGCAGCTACCCGTGCAATTCCGGAACTCCGAGGTTTATCATACAAAGAGCGGCTTGAAAAACTGGATTTCTTTACTCTGTCATATCGCAGACCAAGGGGAGATCTAATTTTGATGTACAGAATACTGAGAAATGATTTCGGACCTAACTTATTCTCTCTCTTTTTTCCCACTAGATCGGGACACCTTAGAGGACATAGCAGGCGAGTAGAAAAGCCAAGAACGAACAAAATACCCGTGGCATACAGGTTTTCACACCGCGTCATCAATACTTGGAACCTGCTGCCTGAAGCAGTGGTGTCCGCACCTTCAATTGACTCTTTCAAGAGAAGACTGGACACTCACAGAAGCATACTAGAAAAGGAAAAACATAGGCCGTAGGCCTTCTGTCCTTACTACACAAATATGAATCTGAATCAACTTGGATAATTCAGCTGCTCGGTTGCACCAATCCTAGTGAACTCGATAGTTGACTAAGAGGTAATAAATCTTGAGTCTTGTCAATAAGTATGCAGCGGTAAATAAATCCCCAAAATCAATAACTTCGTAAGTCCTTGACATTTGATGTTAATCTCACTAGTGTAAATGAACACATCTCACAGAAGGCGCTCAGTTACCCATCCGCACCAGACCAAGAGTGAGTACGTCGTGCTACGCATCACTTGCAACCACTAGGCAGCTTACTTCAGACAATTCTCGACACATCAATAGCTTTCCAAATATATTTCCAAACCCATTCAGTCAGGAACTTTGATCTTACCATGTTGGTATACTTCGGTTGTAAAGGTGTTATGTTTAAAGACGTCAGATTCCGAACTCCTGAGGCATCTTTAATGGTGATGCCGATGTAGCGGTAAATAAATCCCTAAAATAAATAGCTCTGTAAGTTTTCCACATTGGATGCTGACCATATGTTTTAGTGGACTCATCTAGCTGAAGGCGCTCGGTCAGGCATCCGCACCAGATCACGTGTGGTAACGCCGTGCTCAACATCAACCGCAATCGCTAGCCAGATTAGATCAGAGAATTCCGATATATTGGTTATCGCCAAATATACTCTTCCGATCTCCTTGACTCTGTCTTTTGGTTTCTCTGGGTGGGAACGAAATATATTAGAAGTTGTTACTGGTAAAAGCGTTGTCAAACACTGAATACCTGTGACATCATCATTGGTGAGCCCGACGTGATCTGGTACACCTAATTGCAACTGTGAGTCTGTTCCTTTTTGGGATTTTTATATATCATTGCCTTATTTTTTATTTTTTTAAACATTGTGATTTTTTTTCGTGTTTTTTCCTGGATATATATATTTTCCCCTCGTTCATTATCGTACTTCATACTTCATCATGACTGAAGAGACACCTAAAGTACTCAAGCTTAAGACTTTGTCCCCGCCTTCGTTTCAACTGATGCCTTTCTGGCCCGACAACATCGAAGCCTGGTTTTGCTACGAAGAAGCCGACTTCTCCGAGCACGGCGTGATCGACACACGTGCACAATTCCTCGCAGTAGTCAAGGCACTACCGCGCGAATTCAACAGGTACGTAACACCTTGTATGTTTACTAGTGATGTTTCCGATCCTTACGAAATCTTAAAACGCTCGATTCTTAAACGAGGAGACCTAACCGATCGACAAAGGTTAGATCAACTCTTCAACAATATCGACCTGCAACACGGTTCTGCGACAGACATGTTGCAACGGATGAGAGAGGTTATAGGCCCAAGAACTTTCGACGAAGGCCTATTCAAACAACTCTTCTTGTCAAAACTTCCCCAACAGGTGCAAGCAGTTCTGGTCTCGTTCCAGAACAACGCCTTAGACGAGCTAGCTGCATCTGCCGACCGCATTTTAGAAATTACGAAATCTACTACAGAGGTATTTTCAGTCAAAGAAAAACCTCAAACGACTCAGAATGATATAACCGAGTTATGTCACACACTCACGCGTTATCTTAGTCTTCGTACCGACCGTAAGAGATCGCGCACACCACGTAGAAGCATTTCTCGTAAGCGATCTGTCTCTAGACCACGAGAGACAGATAACCCTGACTGGTGCTGGTATCATAACCAGTATGGAAAGCTTTCCAGAAATTGCAGAAAACCCTGCAATTTTCCCAACACGAAATCGACTGATTCGAAAAGCAATTCGGGAAACTTCCAAGCCGGCACGCGTTAACGGCAACCGTAGCCGGCGAACAAAGTCGTCTGTTATTCGTCACAGATGTGACAACGAGAGTTCGCTACCTCGTCGACACTGGCGCAGAAGTTAGCGTTCTCCCAGCAAATCCTAACGACCGACTACACGAATCGACCCTAAACTTACAGGCGGCAAACGGAAAACCGATCGCTACGTATGGCAAAAGGTACGTTTACCTTAACGTGGGTTTACGCAAACCCATCCACTGGATTTTCGTTGTTGCAGATGTTTCTATGCCAATCATTGGTATGGATCTTCTACAACACCACAATCTGATCATCGACACGCGCAAACGGAGGCTAGTAGACGGAAACACTAATTTATCCGTTTGCGTAACTTCTTTTACTGGTTGTAGAGTATCCCCAGTCACAGTTAAACATATGATAGACACAATCTATCAACCACTACTCGATAAGTACCCTGAGATACAACAAACTCAAACGAAACTACCGTGTGTAACCAGCAATGTTACACATCACATCACGACTACAGGACCACCTGTATTTTCTAAAGCACGCCGACTAGCTCCTGAAAAGCTAAGGTTAGCGAAAAACAAATTCGATCACATGATGGACTTAGGAATCATACGACCGTCAAGTAGCCCATATGCATCTCCGTTGCACATGGTCCCTAAAAAGGACAGCAACGATTGGCGTCCAACTGGTGACTATCGGCGATTGAACGCGAAAACCATTCCCGATCGTTAACCGTTGCCTCACATTCACGATTTGACAGCTACCTTGAAAGGTACAACTGTCTTTTCAAAAATCGACTTGGTTAAAGCGTATAACCAAATCCCTATGGCTACTGACGACATACCGAAAACGGCTATCATAACGCCCTTCGGACTCTATGAATTTTTGCGAACGCCTTTCGGTCTAAGGAATGGTGCTCAAACATTCCAAAGATTCATTGACGACTGTCTAATCGCAAGTCTGGACAGAGAAACACATCTCAAGCATCTGGATCTTGTTTTCGAACGACTTCAAAAACATGGCATAACTGTAAACGTTCAGAAATGCCAATTCGGAACCGACTCGTTAGACTTCCTAGGACACACTATCGATGCTCAAGGCATTCGACCTCTTAGGACCAAAGTGGCGGCCATTCTGGATTACCCAGAACCCACCACCGTCAAGCAATTACGCACGTTCAACGGCCTCGTAAGTTTCTATAGACGTTTCATACCCAAATGCGCATTACTTATGAAACCTCTGACCGACCAACTTCGTGGAAATGCGAAATCCATTAATTTGGACGACACCGCAAGAAAAGCATTCTCTACAGTTAAGGAACTGGTTGCTAAAGCAACAATGCTCGCACATCAGGACACCCGAGCACCCATTAGCATCGCAGTAGACGCATCCGACTCGGCAATCGGAGGAGTCTTACAACAATGGGTTAACAACTCATGACAACCCTTGGCATTTTTCTCTAGAAGGTTGCTAGACACCGAATCGAGGTACAGCACATTCGGTAGGGAACTCCTAGCTATGTATTGTGCTGTACGGCATTTCCAACACTACATCGAAGGTCGTGAATTCACTCTTTTCACGGACCATAAACCGCTCACTTTCTCGTTAAGCTCTCCTTCTGACAAGTACTCTCCCCGCGAGTCTCGACAACTGGACTACATTTCGCAGTTTACTTCAGATATTCAACACGTCTCTGGAGCAAACAATGTAGTTGCAGACGCTTTATCTCGTATAACTTCCTTGAACAGTTTCCAAGGAATCGACCTTCTTAAACTCGCCGAGCTTCAAAAAGAAGACAGTGATCTTCAGCA